TCTCACTATTCTCCTAGCTAACAATCACAGTCTTATTGGTTCTTCCTTCATGATGTCTCTCACATCCCCTTTCCTTTTGATAACGCTGCTCTGCACCCTGAGCCAGGTCCTGTTCATCTCACTATTTTAGAAATTTCCTAACTGGTTTTCTTTCCTCTGATTTCTTCCCGGTCTACTCTATCTTGCCCAGTATAATACGATTTACCTTCTTAAAACTGTGTATCAATTTTAAGAAGGTAAATTTAGTTTTAATAATTAAGATTATTACCTTTTTTCTTTCTTTTAATATGCTGAGTTTAAGGTGCTGGGAAAGCAAGCGGTATTTGTCGAGATGACATCGGATCTTAGAGAGAAGCAGCTGGGCTGAGGATATGTGTTGAGAAAGGCAGGGCCCAAAAGGCTGTGGCAGTGAGTGAGGCCCACAAGGGAGAAAGCAGGAAGGCAGCTCCACACCAGGCATTTAAAGGAGCTCTGAATTCCTTATGGTTTTATGCCATTACTTATATCATCATATACAATCCAATTAATGATTTGATTGGTGCACATTAGGGAGGGTTTCCTCCCACTAAAGTCTAATCTGGTTGAGAAGAAAAGACCAACTCCAATTACAGAAAAAGATTTAAGTGACACTTCAAAATAAATAAGAGAAAGTTGACCCAAGCAAGTGCTTGATAGGTGAATCATACAGTAACCTCTTGTGTAAGAGTACCTGGAGAGATACCCCCAAGCTAGGGTGTTTTAGGAAAGCTTGACAAAGGAAGTGAGTTTTAAGGTCAAGATCAGAGAGGCTGAGCTGTAGTCTTTCTAGGCAGTTGACTGGGCAGGATCAAAAGAGGAGGGAAGGAGATCCAGGGAGTAAGTGAACCAGTTTGGTAGGAGGAAAGGAGTCATGGTGGGAGGGGGTGGGGTGGGGACAGCAGTTAAGGCTGGAAAGGCAGGTTGAAGCCAAATTTTGACTAGTCTTAAATAAGAATCCGCCAGAGTTGGGACATTCTTTCATGAGCAAGAGAATCATTAAATTTTGAGCAGGTGGGAGTGTCACGACTGAATTTAAATTTTAAGAATGTTAATCTGGCCTTATTTTAAAAGCGAAAAACTCAGGACCTTTTGGTTTAAGCCCTTCATCTCACAGATGAGGTACAGAGAGAGTGAGAGCCTTTTCTTACAGAGAACCAAAATTTCCTAACTGCTAATCTGCTTTCTACAATTTTTAAAATTTTAAATTAGTGTGGCATGTAGCCCTCTGTGGGAATACATACATTGTGGAATGCAGCTCTCTAATGATAAAAGCAGAGATATATGTTGAGGGGTGTCAAGAATGTGTACCTGGACCTCAATTATACACAGTAAACTAAAGTGCTAAAATAATGGTTTTACTACACTCCAGTTCCAATTTGATTCTGGCACTGAAACAAGGAGTACCCAGATAAGACTAGTAGACAAAGGGAGAGAAGGAGCAGGTTAAGTAGAAACAAGCAGTATAATCCAATAGAGAGAAAACTGAATGAATAATTAGAAGATTTAGATGCTAGTCTTGGTTAGCAGTGGTTATGGAAGAAGCCAAATGATTGCCTCATCTCTTCCAAAGTTCAATAGTAATAAAACAAGTCACAAATTTTTTAGTTGATCATTTGGAATTTGCAATGTCTTTTCCAAAGAAACAATTTTATTAAAAGTTGATTAGTTTCCTAGAGTATCCTTCAGGAACCTATATAAATCCCAACATAGCTCAAATTGCTTTATATTTTGCAATGAGAAATATAAATAATTTTGCAACACTAATGAATAAGCAAAACAGAAAAACTAAACTCATTATTGTGGGGATTTTTAATGGAAAACATTTAATTATAAAAGGATATGGAACTGAAGGTTGTAGAGACTATGAAAGAATTACTTCTAGGTACTTTCAAGGTCATCGGATGTTAGTGGCACTGACTCAAAAACAGAAAGGCGCAGGGGTGGGAAAGGGAAAGAAAGTATGAGCTGAGTGTGTCTTTAAGGAGGATGATACAACCAGTGTTGAGAGCGTGAAAGAATGGGCCAGGCTGGAAAAAGCCAGGAGTGCAATTCACTCAGAATCAAAAGGAGAAAAAAAGGAAGTTGTGACCAACATATCACTACAGGGGTCATCAATCTAGATTCTAGGAGATTAGGGTGGAAGTGAGTCCAGAAAATAGATCTGAGGCAGTTACGTTCAAGGAGAACAGTGGGACAAATGTTCAAAGCAGGGTCAAAGATTCAGGGTATTAATTCCCACAGGGACAGAGGCAGGAGTCCAGATGGAAAGCTCTAGCTGGAGCCCCAACTCAGGGCACTCAGGGTCCAGATTTACAGTCTAGTTCAAGACACTTGAGATTCCTTAGCTCCTGCAGCCAAGATTGGCTCCAGACAGTAGGTGAAGAAGGAGTGCAAAGGGCAAGAGCCACGCAAAAACCCATAGACCAAACCAAAGTTAGAAAATGATAGAAGGAAATAGGTCTAAAGTTGTGCTGGTTCAGATAAACAGGAAGAGGAGACCCTCACGAGAAAATGGCAGCACAGAGGGCAAAGAAAAGGAGCCAGGAAAGGGACAGAGAGAAATCTGTGGCCAACACCAGAGGGCACCTCCAGTTATAGGACAGCCTTGTTGATTTACAGGACTTGGCAGTGGTGTGGAAGAGGGAAAAGGACAATAGAGTGGCCTGTAAATGGGGGTGGTGTGTGTGTGTTTGCAACCACATTCAAACATACTTCAGTAAATACAGAGTAGCCAAATATTCTCACCTTTCTGCTTCCTGGTATTGTTAACATCCTGGCTGCTATTATTACTAGGCTGGCCAGTAGTTATAATTCAGGGACCAGGTAAGAAGGTTGAAGGATAACAGAAGATAGAGAAAAAAGCAGTAATACTTAAAAAAAAAAAAAAAAAAGAAGACGAGGAAAAAGTGTGGAAAGTCAAAGTATCTGAGGAAATGAAGAAAGATAGAAGAAAATCCAGAAAACATCTAATGCAGGTTATGTGATGAATTCCACAGTGGCCCCTTACTCTTTTCCCATCCTATCTATTATTAGAATATCTACACAGTAGCTGGGCTTTATAAACGCACAAAAACATAGTCTTTGCTCGTTAGGAGCATTTAGATGTGTGCTCACTTTTGTCAAGGAGTAAATAAAACACTTGGTAGAAGTTGGATCCATTTTAAATCATCAAATAGCTCCAGGTAATGAATAGCAGAACTTTGGGGGCTGTTTCTATGCCAGGAGAGAGGGGGTAGGGAGACGAAGATGGGGGTTAGAAGATGAAGTATTTTGAGATATATGCGAGTATACATTTTCCTCAAAAACTTTAAAACATGTTTTCTAAATGCTGCCTTCTAAAAATACAAAGGCTATTAAAATGATCAAATATGACTAGGTGAGAGGAGTGGGGAGAATTACCCAGACAGCCCACTCCAAAATATTTCACGTAAATTCGTTCCTAATGCTTGCCATTCTCTCCAGATCTTACACTACTTAAAGGTAGGAGATCTTTGATTTAACCACTGTACACTTTTTGATTGTCTGTCACTCAGTAAGTACTTGATTAATTTTGGATTGAGCATCAGGGAGTGTTTGTTCTCTGAGAGGCGGCCTACAGAGCCCAGGTAAGGCCCTAGAACGCAAGTGCAATGACCAATACGAACATCGGAGCATTCGATGTACTTTTCCCAAACTTCTCGTCTGTTTTTGAAGTGGCTTTTCCCCCTTTCGGGTTTAGCAGAATTCCAACGCACTATCGCAGTTAACATTTCTAAAGCACACACCTCAAGCCCCTTCCCCGAGCCCATTCCCGTGGCCTAGGCGTACAGGTCTCCACCCGCCAGAGCACACTCCCAGGTCCCCGACGCCTCTCCCCATCCCCCAGCTTCCTAACCGCGTGGTGACTCTCCGGGCAGCCTCCCTCCAGCGCGGGCAGTCGCAGGGCTCCAAGCCCCGCTACCCTAGGTCGGCCACACGTGTCCATTCCCTGGGGTGGGGGTGGGGGTCGCTCTTCCCGCTCGGCTGCTGATTGGTGCCTCCCCCTACCCCACCCTTCCCGCCGCACTCCAGCCTCCATCCTACTTAGTTCCAGCTTAACCAGCCCCACCACCTTCTTCCCTCTGAGAAAAGAGCCACTTGAGAGCTCCTTGAAGCAGCGTTCTCGGCTGCAGTAAAAGCGTTGAAGAACAGGTGGAAACCACTTCGTTTCGCTAGGCCTCATATTTCTCGGGTGGCCAGCCCCTCACTCTGCGGTACTACCCTCAACATCAATAATAACTGGAGTCTCCCACACGTGCACGTTTCTGGACCTAGCCCCTAGGAGAGCACCACCCAGCGGGCCCTTTAAAAGGACGCGACCACTAAGGCCAAGTGGGGGGTGGGAGAGACCCTTTTTGTCCTCCCTCCGCAAAGTCCTTGAACTCCTCAGTCCCGAACACCTGGGAAGCGCAGCGCGTACGCTAAAAGTTCACGGGGACACCCTGCTCCCTTCAGGTCACGCACTCCTTGCTTCTTGGGGTGCTCGGTCTCCTCTCCCCTCCCCCTTCTCTTCCAGTGCAGCTGTCCGGGCTGGGGGTGGGGAGTGGGGGCGGGGGTTGTTGTTGTGGTGAGGGACGGCCCCGCCCCCTCCTCGTGGGCGGCCCCTCCCCCAGGCCCTCTGTTCGGCCCCTCCCCCGCCCCCAGCCCCATCTGTTTTCCCCAGCGGTGAGTTGATTACATTGTACGGGACCGGGGGCGGCCGAGGCAGCCGCAGGATGGGGCGTGTGCGCGGACCCCGCCGGCAGCCCGAGCCGCAGCCGCCTCAGTGAGTCGGGCCCCGAGCCGCCCCCGCCCGGCCGCCCGCCCCCGGCTCATGCTCACGCCCAGCGGCGGCAGCAGCCGGACTAGCCGCGTCCGCCGCGCCGCCGCCCCCGCCCGAGGAGCCGAGCGCTGAGGCGCTGCGCCGCGGCGGGAGTCCGAGGCGAGCGGGCCGAGCGCGGGCAGCGTGGGGCCGCCGAGGCGCGCTCCGAGCCCGGGCCGCCGCCGGCGCGGCTGGGAGATGTGCCCGGAGGAGGGCGGCGCGGCCGGGCTGGGCGAGCTCCGCTCCTGGTGGGAAGTGCCGGCCATCGCGCACTTCTGCTCGCTCTTTCGCACGGCGTTCCGCCTGCCCGACTTTGAGATCGAGGTGAGTGGCCGCGCGGGGCGGACGAGGCGGCGCGCTGCGCCCCTTTCTCCCGGTGCCCCCAGGCGTCCGGGGACGCGGTGTGGGAGGGAGCGGGGCCCGAGAGACTTTCGCCGGGAGCCGCAGCCGGCAGGAGGGCTGGGAGGCGAGGGCGCCAGGCGCGGCAGGGCAGGGGGCGGCGCGGGCCGCCCGGCTCTGCCCCGGGCGCCAAGTGCGGACGCGGGCTCGGGACCTCGCCCGGCGGCCGCGGGGCCGGGCGGCGCTCCGGGGAGGCGCGCGAGCCGGCGCTTTTGTGGGAGCGGGACCGGCGCCCTCCGGGACTTCTCGCAGGGGCTGAGTGTGGGGCGAGAGTGCGTGCGCGCTCCCCTCCCGGTGCCATTGAAGCGGCGAGCCAGCTGCTCGGGCGGGGACGGGGCCGGTGCGGGGGGGCGCGGGCGCGGGATTAGCTGGGACCCGCGCGGGAGGCGGCCCGGGCGGCGGCGCGGGGGCCTGCGGAGCCGGAGTGGCTCCCCCGCTTGGGCGCGCCGCACTTTGCCGGCTCCCGGAGGCCCGCTCCTCGCGGGGGGCGCTTCGGGCTAACTTCGGACGGGCGGGGACAGCCCTGGACGCGGGGGCGCGCTGTCTTTGGGGGAGCCGCCCGGCGCCGAGCCCTGCGCGGGGCTCCGAGGCTGCGGAGGGAAAGTTTGGGACTCCGTTATTCTTTAACAGCTCCTTTCCTCTGGGAATATACAGCTCTCTTTATTCCGGGAGCTCCTGTGAGTTGACTTCGCCACCATTATCCCTGCGGGCGAGCGTGGAGGAAAGGGATGGCTTTTTCTGGCCAGGCCGAAGGTGCTTTGAGACCCGAGGCTTTGTGATAACCGGACTGAAATCGGAGGGTCCCAGGAGCACGGGTGGTGGCGGGAGCCGGAGGAACGGAATGCACACGATGGCCCAAACCGGTGGCCAGCCCCAGCCAGCATCCCCCTTTATTTTTATTTTTGGAAGGGGTGTGAAATAGTTGATTGGTTGGCAGATTGCATTGCTTTCTCTCCTAGGGCAAGACATGTAGTGACTCACCTTTCACCTTTGGACAAAGGTGAATGGAAACTGTGTTGGTCAGTTTTTGTTCCCAGTTCTGCCAGTGCGTTCGCCGACGGAGTAAGCAAAATTAGAATCTCTCTTTTGGAGGAGGAAATCGTGTTGCCTCCCCACCGCCTTGTGTCTTACTTTCTGCCATTTTCGGGTTGATTTTAATTCGTTTACTTCTAAGGTCTTTGCCTCACCTTTATTTTAAGATGCAGTCGTGTTCGCTGAAATACCATTTGCTTCTCATATGAATGAAGTGTGGGAACTTGCTGTTGTTGGAATTAATGAAGTCGGGAAAATAAAAAGATCTAAAGGGTTGGGGATGGGAGAGTAAGAAGAATGTAGACTGATAAACTAGGTCCACTCGCTGGCTTTTGGCGATTCTTAGTTCCTTAAGCTGATTAAAACAATGTGATGAAATCGTAGGCTTCTCTGGTTTTTAGGAAGATGTAATCGCTTAGGCATTTTACGCAGCACCACAGCGTTTGTTTTCAAAGTTTGAACATGAATGTTACAAGCATGATTTTTATACTAAAAATTTCCTTGAGACAACTGTTTATATTGACTAAAGAAGAGAAACTGCCACAGAAATTGAAGATTAGGAATCGTAAAAGTGAGGAGATGTTTAACGATTATTCTGATGTCCTGAGTTTTCTTTTAGTTGGTGTAAAATCGTGAATAGTTTATATCCTGCCGCTCAAAATGGTGGCTGTGGTGGGAGGTGTTGACTGTGACTGTGCCATCTTGGGTGCTGGTAAATTGTCCCCTAGCCGTTTTTCTTCCTTGTAAGATAGTAAAGTTGAGCTGATGCTGAGATTACCACTTTAGGGTTTAAGGATCATTCTAAAAATACTATTGGAAAAACTTCACTCATCTCTCAAAAATCCATGTATTTCCATTTCGTTGATGGAAAAATAGAGGTAACTCATTTTGACTTAAGTACTACAACATATCTGGAGTAACCTATAAATAACTTGTTTTCTGTTGTAAGAAATAAACTTATAGTTTCTGAGAATTAGCTGGTTTAATTCCTAAAGGAAATGTGAGCTGATTAAAGAGGTCAAACTTATATGTATATGTATAACACAAATGAAAAATTATTTTAGTTTGCATGGTGAATAATGAGGGTTATTTGATCAGGGTTATATGACTATTTTCTCTTACGATTCAAGTATGTCTTGGAAATGACTTTTTTGTTAAAATATATGCTATTTGAAATACATGCAACACAGATGAATATTTGGATTCCAACATTTACACATTTTAAGAACTGTCCACACCTGTTTTACTTGGAGATGTTCAGTAAATGGGTAACAAATGAGAGTGACTTTTCTCCCCTACAGTTTTTGTATAATTTGTTTCATGTTAGGTATGTTTTAATGTGGCTAATGCAATTTTTTTTTTTTTTTTTTGAGACAGGGTCTTGCTCTCTGTCACCTGGGCTAGAGTGCAGTGGTGTTATCCATCACCATAGCTCAATGCTGCAACCTCAGACTCCTGGGCTGAAGCAATCCTCTCGCTTCAGCCTCCCAAAGTGCTAGGATTACAGGTGTGAGCCACCTGGCCCAGCTAATAATGTAAATTCTAACTTAAGGTTTTCAGTAGTTATCAAAAAATTAAAATTTTTAAAATTAACTTATAGACTTCTAACAAATTTGACTCATTGACAGTGCAGAGCTCATTGAAAACATTATTAATTTTGATTCTCTAAGTTTAGATAAATTATTTTTCTTAGGTGATTTTTTTTAAAAAATCGAATAGTTTATTGTCCTGATAGTTTGAGAAACAATCCCTTCATTAGACTTGATAACAGTGGAAGACCCTTATAAAAGGAAAAGAACAATTCTAATGCTGAGTTGTTACCTATTAGGCCATATGGAAAGGCCTTAAAATCTTAATTTACTGCAGCTTTAAAAGGTAGGAATGATGAATAATACCAAATGGTAGAAATTGGATATCAGCTTTTTCAGGAAACCAGTTTTCAACTGTGGGAAAGATCTCATTTTATCCTTGACCACCGGGTTGAATCCATGGATTTATAGAAAATTTAAGAAGTAGAATCTTCAAGGACTTGGCTTCTATTTATCTAAAGTGAAGCAATCTGTAAGATAGGTGAAGGGCTGGGAGTATTCATGCAGCAATTCTGCAAGACCTCCGACTTAGAGAACTGGTCCCCAAAGTGGACATTTTTATTTTTGTATGTAAAAAACCTTTTTACCCTTAATGGAGTAGTCAGCCTTGAATGTACAGGATTTCTTTAGAAGAGTCAGCATATATGATTCTTGGTTTTAGAATATATTTAAGGACTTGTATGTTGCTGGCCCCCAAATAAGGGTTCTTATAATCATGAGACTGAAAATCTGTGAGTATATAATGATAATAATGATTTATTTGAGTTCAAAATTCCTAGTTTCAAAAATAATATGTAAACATTATATAAAACTTGAAGATATTGCAAAATATAGGTGACAATTAAAATCACTCCTAATTATCATTCAGGGATATAAGCTGTTAACTGTTACCATAGGGTTTTACCACTGAGGGATAAAGTGTTAACATATTTAAAAATTCGGCTGGGCCTGGTGGCTCAGCCTATAATCCTAGTACTATGGGAGGCCGAGGCTGGGAAGATCCTTTGAGCTCAGGAGTTCAAGATCAGCCTGAGCAAGAGCGAGACCCTGCCTCTACTAAAAATAGAAAGAAATTAGCTGGACAACTAAAAATATAAATATGGAAAAAATTAGCTGGGCATGGTGGCACATGCCTATAGTCCCAGCTACTCAGGAGGCTGAGGCAGTAGGATCCCTTGAGCCCAGGAGTTTGAGGTTGCTGTGAGCTAGGCTGACACCACGGCATTCTAGCCCGGGCAATAGAGTGAGACTCCATCTAAAAGATAAATAAAATAAAATAAAATAAATTCATAAATATGGTCACAGTGTATTTGTGCTGTAGGTTAGGTGTTGTTTTTATTTTCCAGATGAGAAGATTGAGATATAGCTGGACAATAGTAGGTTAATGACACGGAATTCAATAGTTGGTATTGTTAAGCATCTTACTATGTACTTATCAAAGAACTGAGGGATTTACCAAAGAAGTTTTTAACTGGCCTTTGTCTCAGAAGATTCATTATCTGTTAATATTTCAGAACTAGCAATTGTATACCACTTCAATCAAATTAAGTATTTCATAATTGTTTAACATTCTAGTTAGGTTAGGTTGGCTAAATTTTGTCCTTCAAGAAGAGAAAAACAGTTACTTGACTTCCCCCAAAGATTTACTGCTATGTTTTTCCCTAGCCAAGTTTTCTTTACAGTGACTATAGTGTCACTCCCGACTAAAGGTAAGGGAGGATGGAAGGATTTTCGGTGATCTAATCTAGGGTTAATCATGATGGCTATGGGGTAGGCATGGTGCCTATATGTGGCTATTTGAAAGTGGTTATGGAGAATCATTTGAATGGTTTGTATAGTAGCAGCATGATCAAAGTAAATACTGTCCTATTTTTTTTCCCTGAGTGTCCTGCTTTTGAGTACTTAATCCTTTACCTTGTATCTCCTTTCTGGTTGTGGTTGTATGTGGGTAAAGTCTCTTACCTGATCAGTATGATGATATGGTGGAAGTATTCAGATTCTTGAATTCCACCCTTGGTGCTTCCTTGGGTCCAATCTCTTATCAAAAGGATCAAGGCATGAATTAAACATTAAAGTAAGAAATAGAAATTGCTAAGAGAAACTTATAAGTACCTCAGTCATATCAGTGGTTCCTAAACCTGGGTTCGCAGGGATGAACGATAGGAGATTTTGTGTTGGTGTATGTTTGTGCAGTTTGCTGAGGGAGAGGCATGTCAGTTTCGTCATATTCTGGTAGAGGTCTCCAGCCATGCAAACAAACATACATGGCTGGGCTGAGGCTTTAAACTAGATGAAAGAATAAGG